CCGAGGTCAGACCCAGGAAGGTGGAAGCCGTGTGAGCTTCTTGCCCTGGAGACAGTCTGCTCACAGAGAGGAGACTTCACCCGAGTCCTGCCTGGCTTCGTAGGGAGCAGTTCCAGAGCATCGCCCCGGGGACTCCGTGACAGGAGGAACACCCAAGGGTCGAGTCCACTGTGGGGAAACTCCTGATCAAAGACCCCCCCGATCAGTGTAAAAAGGTGGATTAAGCAAGGCATGAGGGTGCTTTTTCTGAGCGGAAGCTATGATTAAGTTGCACCCCTGAGGTGAGAGAGTTCTTACTCAGAGCCCCTGTTTGGGTTGGCATTTTTAATACATTTTTTCTCAGCAATGGTGAAGAATGAAGTGGGCATGTTTTGAAAGAGCCAGGTGGCACCTTTAGAACTACAGACCGCAGTCTGTTAGCAGTCTCTGAAGAGAAAGCAAAGGCATCTCTTAAGGAAGACGGTCTTTGCTGTGACATACGCAATGAAGGCAGAAAATTATCCAGCCTGGACCTACCCTGGTCAGAAGGGAGCGAGACGCAAATCTCCGGCCGAGAGCAGCAACCGTTGCATTCGACTTTCGCTGGTGGTTTAGCGTGCTCAACTTTAAGTCAAGTTAGAGCTTGTTTCTACCAGAACAAATGAACAACACCACTGTAGTATAAATGCAATTTTGCTGCTATAAACTAACTTCTATGGCAGTGGTTCCCAAACTGGGGTTCGCAGAACGTTACAGGGGGTTCGCCAGAAAAATGTCACTAATGGCGGACAGAGGACCCTGGGCATTGGAGACAGCAGGTTGGACCCGGTTGCAGGGCAGACACCCCGAGCCCCAGGGAGAACGGGGCCGGGCAGTTGGGGCTGGCAGCCCAAGTCCCGGCAGTCAGCAGGGAAGCTGGCAGCCCGAACCCCAGCGCTCCGCGTGGGGCTGACAACCCGAGCCCCATGGAGAGCGGTGCCGGGCAGTTGGGGCTGGCAGCCCGAGCCCTGCCCCCGTCAGCGGGGGAGCCAGCAGCCCAAACCCCAGCGCTCCCTATGCAGGGCTGGCAGCCCGAGCCCCAGGGAGAGTGGGGCCGGGCAGTTGGGGTTGGCAGGCCGAGTCCCAGCGGTCAACAGAGGAGCCGGCAGCACGAATCCCAGCGCTCCCCATGCAGGGCTGGCAGCCCGAACCCCAGGAAGAGTGGGGCCGGGCAGTTGGGGCATCCATCACACTGAGGAAATTTAAACTTAAATCCCTGAAAATATTCATTTTTAGGAGGGGATTCACAAGATTTCAGAGTTTAGTGAAAGGGGTTCGCGGGCTGTTAAAGTTTGGGAGCCACTGTTCTACGGGTATGGTTTTGTCTGACCCAGCAAGCAAGATAAGCAGTTCCTCTGAAAATCCCACACGCCTTATAAGTGCATCTACCCTAGGACTTTTACTAATTTATGTTATCGTGATGTGACTTTTCCTTTGTAGACTGTTTAACGACCTGCCCCGCCTTGTGTTTAACTATGGGGCTCTGGTTACCTTCCTTGGCCTAGTTTGAATGCTCCTTTCTTCCAACAGTGGATGTTGATCCAATAAATGATATCACCTCAACCACTGTGACTCTCAAGCGGAGGCTAGGCCTTCGTTACATTGGCTGGATGTCCTTTTAGGATTTCCTAGGCATTGGATGCTGTCTACTACCGGTAGCGCGGGGTTGTTCTCCGTGTCTCATTTTAAAATAACTTTCAGGGAGGGCTGACGAGGTTAGAAACACTTAGGCACAGGGCCCGACCAAAGTCACGGTCCATTTTGATGAGTTTCACGGTCCTAGGAGTTTAAAAATGTGAAATGTCACTGTTTCAGATACACCACCATGAGATTTCAGATGGAAGTAACGGTGGGGGTCTGTCCCAAAATGGGGTTGTGGGTGGCCACTGGAGGGGGGTGGTGGTATTGCCACCCTTACTTCTGTGCTGCCAGCAGAGGTGGATCTGACCCAGCCCCAGGAGCAGCCCGTTCAGGAGAAGAGGAAGTCCCATCCCGCTGCAGGCCGGCCAGGACTAGCAGCTGGAGCGTGATGCACAGTAGGGTCCCCCAGCTATATTTCTCCCCAGTGCTCAGAGGTTAAAGGGGCCTTGGGCTGGCTCTGGGGGGGGGGAGGGGGGTGACCACAGTACCCTCCCCGACATACCATACCACCCTCACTTCTGCTGCTGGTGGCGCCGCTGCCTTCAGAGCTAGGTACCTGGCCAGCAGCCACTGCTCTCTGGCCACCCAGCTCTGAAGGCAGCGCAGATGTAAGGGTGGCAATACCTACACTTTACTAGATTTCACAGGCCGTGACAGGTTTTTCACGGCCATGAATTTGGTAGGGCCCTACTTAGGCACTAACCCAACACTGATCTAATTTTGAACAGTGGGGAGGGGCGGGGTTAGTTACTGGAACTAACTCCTGAAGGAAGTGGTGAATTCTCCATCACTTGATGTCTTTTCAGCCAAGACTGGATGCCGTCCTGGAAGAGGCATTAGTCCAATGCTAGTTACTGGGGGTAAATGTGAAATTTAATGGCCTTGTAGATCTAGACGGTCTACCGGTCCCTTCTGGCCTCTACGAATTGCAATGTGTTTATTGCAGCAGAATATTAAAATTAAGGGGATGCTCAAAATCCACCTAAAAAAAACCCCAAACCAACGACACATTTAACTACTAAAATTAGCATCATCCAAAATGGGGAAGCAATCTTTCCAGACGTGGTCAGAGACTGCTTCCGTCTGTCTCGGTGTTTCAAAATTCTGAGAATTTGCACACTCCAGCGGGAACTTATTTCAGACTAGAAATAAGGCTTACATTTTTCTTGGTGCGGGCAATTAACCGTTGGAACAATTTACTCGGGGGGGGGGTGGATTCTCCATCACTGACCATTTTTAATTCACGAGAGGAGGTTTTTCTAAAAGATCTAGGAATTGGTCTGTATCCAAGGGCTATCAAACTAGGGCACCCCAAAAATCTGGACATGACTATAAATTATCACTCCCTTGTCAATATGAAATGCTCTGTCCATGGTGCTGTCAAAGGCTGAGTGTAATTCATCCAGAAACCTGGGGATGAATTTCAGAATGGCACCTTGGCTTTGCTACAATGAATCTGTCTGTTCGTAGCCTTGTTAAAAGACCCTTAGATCTATTTTTCCCTTAAATCCTTTTCTCTTTCATAACATCCACCTCTGCTGCAGGAGAAGTTAGATTTAGGAGTGTCTACGATGAAGCAAACGCAACCACGCTCGCCTCTGTTTGATGCCGTCCTTTATATACAAAGAATTACTTACATTCTTCTCGCTGAAATACAAAAGATCACAATGTGCTAATGCCTCTCCATATGTCCCTGACATTAAGACAAACGCCTCCGTTAATTACAAAACAAACTCCCTCAGATCCTACTAACCATTCAGAAGCTTCCTGGGTTCGTCCATAAACTGTCTTCAAGCATAGCTATTGATCTCTTGTGCCTGTCATCTGCTTAAACAGGTTCTTCGTTTGTCCCACCCCAAACATGCGGCATGATGGAGTGTCGGGTCTAATCACTAAAATTTTAGCAAGGTTGGTCTTTGTAGGCCCACTCAACTGGCTGTCTTCAGACTTCCATCAGTCAGCTAGCAGATGAAATGGAGAGCAGTAATTTTAACAATGCTGTTCTGGCTGCTTCTGTATTTACGGCCTTCTTAAAAATAATCAACCAACCAACGATCCCACCATCTTTAACTAGCAAATTGTCCTAGACTGCTGAGCACAGAGTCTTCCTAGCATCTTGTCTTCTGCATGCAAGGCTGAGGACACCATCCTGTTAAAACACAATAGCGGGCTAGGTGGACCATGGGTCTGATCCAATTGGGCCATTCCTTGTCCCTATAGACATGAGCTGTGGAGCGGATGTCCCACTTTCTGCGTTGCCTTGCAACTGGTGCGGACTGCAGTTCACAAAACCCAACGCACCCTTTCTCAAAAGCTTCCCCACCTTGGGCGATAGCTTTTCCCCCTCTCCCTTGTCAGCCCTTCGCAACCAGTTCTCCTCCAAAGATGAGTTGACTGTCTTCTCTTGATGCTTGCTTTCCAGGAAGAGTGGTGAGGTCCCCTCAGATCTCCTACAAACCTCAGAAGATGGACGGGAAGGGATGTCCCAGGTCAGAGCATCCAGGAAATCCCGCTCCGCTGGCTTGGATGGAGGAGGATGGAAGTTCTCATGATATTTGCCAGTAGGAGTCAATCGCCAGCCATGGGGAGTTAAGAGGTGACTCCACTGTATCGCTGAAAGGTTTCCTCCAAGGGATCTAGTGCTGGCCACTCTTGGAGATGGGCCACTGGACTACAGGGACCATGTGTAGGGCAAAGAGCCACAGCTCCTGCCCGTAGGAGCCTTGCCATTCAGCGACGGAGTCACGGCGTTTGACGGCATCCATGACGCCCGGCCTTCTTGCTCCAACCTTTCTAGCTCTCGGCGTTAGAGCACGTGAGGAGGTCATGCTCGTTCTGGCCCTTTGGCTCAACTCCGTTGACGGCAGGGGGACCGTTCGGTAGGATCGAAAGAACTCCACCGGAGTTTTGCATTCTCCTTCTACCTTCTCAGCGATAGAAAAGTCTCCTGTCCCTGAATCGACGCAGAATCTACTCCAACCATTGGAGTCAATGGTTCTGGAGCCTACTAGTGTCCTACGTTGCTCCGGAATGCCTGAACATCTGTTCCAGCTGCTGGATATGGTCTCGGGGAGGTCTTTTCCCCACCTCCGATTCCAAGAGCGTGCACCCAGCTGAGCTGGATTCTCCTCCAGGTTCCCCTTCCTTTGTCACTTAACCGAGCTCCTTCCGCAGCTCCCAACACGTCTTTATCTCCGTGCCTCCGACCGACACACACACACACACACACACACAACACAATCTCTCTCTCTCTCTCTCTCTCTCTCTCTCTCTCTCTCTCTCTCTCTATATATATATATATATATATATATATATATATATATATATAATCTTAAAAATAAAACCCACAAAGCTAAAAACAACTAACCTAAAAATCTCTAAACCTCGCTGTGTCGTTAAAGTGCTGGGTTACGGTTACATTCCTTTTGTGTGTCTCTCTCTGGCCGATCGCTCCCGCCCCGGGTCAGACGTTGTCCTCTGGCCCCAGACAGTCCAGCTCGGTGGAGGGTTTGATTTCGTGGTCTAACAGAGACGGGGTGCGTCGGAACGCGGCCGCAATCTGATCAAAGGTCCGGCCCCGCGTCTCAGGGACTTTGAAGTAGGTGAAGAGGAAGAAACCAAGGAGGAGGGCCGCGAAGATGAGGAAGACGTACGGCCCGCAGGCGTCCTACAGGAGGGGAGAGGAGGAGTGAGTGCTAGATGCAAAGGGAGGTGCGGGCTGGTTTTGCCAGCGAGCGCGTGCGAGACGCCAGTTGTGAGATGTCGCTCCTACGCCGGCTTGTTCCTGCTCCCGCCTGGGAGCCGGTCTAAGACCCAGCCCTACTCCCTGCTGTGGGTCCGTGCCCCCCTGCCCGCCGGCATATTCCCAGTCGTACAGGCCGGCATTCACGATTCTGGTGCCTCTCTCTGCCGCCTGTGTGCTCATGCGTGTCTAAATACAGTTGTGTGGCATTGCGGGTGTGCGTGTGCAGTATTGTGGGTGCACACGGGTGCATTGCCCACACCCCGAGGGTTGCTTTGCACGTGCCCACCCGCGGGGGGTGCACTCACCGCCATGGACTGGAAGGCCATGCCGACGATGAAGTTGCAGGTCCAATTGCAGCTCCCGGCCACCGCCATGGCCGCCGGGCGGGGCCCCTGGCTGAACAGCTCGGCCACGATGAACCACGGGATGGGCCCCGGCCCAATCTCGAAGAAAGCCACGAAGCCGAAGATGGCCACCATGCTGATGTAGCTCATGGCCGGCACCCGATCCTGGCGGGGGAAAGAGACAGGGATGAGAACCTGCACTGCCGTGCTCACCCCTCGACTCTCAGTCCCCACTTCCCAACTACTCACCAGATACACCAACGCCACTGTCATCACCACGGCACAAACCATCATGCCTCCCAGCCCCACCAGGTGCAGCGTCCGGCGGCCTGCCCGCTCCACCAGGAACAGCTTGCGGGGGGGGAGAGACAAGGGGGACAGAAATAAGATTTGGGAGGGGTGTAGATGGCCCCCCCCAAGGGGCGGCTGGTTGGCTGGGGGCATCTCTTACCGAGACAATGGTGAAGGCGGCGTTGATGGCCCCAGCGCCGATTGTGGCAAACACCGGCTGCTCCAGCCCAGCTGACTCAAAGATACTGGTGGAGTAATAGAATATCTGGGGGGCAGAGAAGGGGGGGGGGGGCGGGGCCGGCCCAAGGCCCCCCCCCCCCCCCCCGATCCCATGGGGTCTCACTTTGCTCCCTCTTCTCCTTCAGGCTCCACCCCATCCACCAGGCTCCACCCCCATCTGCCAGGCTCCTCCCCCAACCAAGCTCCCTGCCAAACTCCACCCCCATTCCCCCCAGGCAGACTCCGCCCCCCCTCTCTCCCATCCAGGCTCCGCCCTGATTCTCCCAAGCTCCACCCTCTTCTCTCCCAACCAGGCTCTGCCCCAATTCTCCCAGACCCCACCCCCCAGGCAAATTCCATCCCCATCTCTCCCATCCAGGCTCCACCCCCATCCTCCCAGGTTCCGCCCCAGTTCCCCCCAGGATCCGCCCCCAGCCAACCACTTAGCTCCATTCCCATTTCCTTGGGTTCCTCCCACTATCTCCCCAAAGCCCCCCCCACCAAGCTCCACCCCCATCTCTAGGCCCCACCCCATCTTCCCCAGGCTCCTCCTCCAGCCAAGCCCTGCCCCCCCTCACCGCATTGATGCCGGAGAGCTGCTGGGACAGCTGGAGCACCACAGCGATGAGCAGCGGCTGGCGATAGATCCGGCAGCGGAAGAGCTGGGCGATGGAGACCTTGCGCTCCATGTCCATGCGCCGCTTCTCCTCCTTCATCTCTGTCAGGGCCTCGCTCACATCGCTGCACCCCGTCAGCCGCTTCAAACCTGCCGGCGCGGGGACAGCGATGGATGGAGCGGTGACGGACCGAGGGATGGGGGATGGACAGATGGATGGGACAACTCATGGGGATGGAGGGATTGGGGCGATGGTAGGTAGATAGATGGGGATGGATGGGTTGGGGGATGGACAGATGGAGGGGTAGATAGATGGGGATGGGTTGGAGGATGGACAGATGGGTAGGGAGGTAGATGGGGATGTAGGGATGGGTTGGAGGATGGACAAATGGGTAGGTAGATGGGAATGGATGGATGGGTTGGGGGATGGACAGATGGATGGGTAGGTGGATGGATGGGTAGGAAGATAGATGGGAATGGATGGATGGGTTGGGGGATGGACAGATAGATGGTTAGATAGATGGGGTGGATGGATGGGTAGGTAGATAAACGGGGAGGGAGGGATGGGTTTGGGGGATTGACATATGGGTAGGTAGATAGATGGGGAGGGAGGGAGGGATTAGGGGGATGGACACACGGATGAGTAGATAGATGCGGATGAAGGGACGGATTGGGGGATGGACAGATGGGTAGCTAGGTAGATGGGGATGGAAGAATGGGTTGGGGGATGGATGGATGGGTAGGTAGATAGATGGGGATGGAGGGATGGGTTGGAGGATGGACAGATGGGTAGGGAGGTAGATGGGGATGGAGGGATGGGTTGGAGGATGGACAGATGGGTAGGTAGACGGGGAGGGAGGGATGGGTTTGGGGGATGGACAGATGGGTAGGTAGATAGATGGGGAGGGAGGGATGGGTTGGAGGATGGACAGATGGGTAGGTAGACGGGGAGAGAGGGATGGGTTTGGGTGATGGACATATGGGTAGGTAGATAGATGGGGAGGGAGGGAGGGATGGATTAGGGGGATGGACACACGGATGGGTAGATAGATGCGGATGAAGGGATGGATTGGGGATGGACAGATAGATGGGGTGGATGGATGGGTAGGTAGATAGACGGGGAGGGAGGGATGGGTTGGGGGATGGACAAATGGGTAGGTAGATAGATGGGGATGGATGGATGGATGGGTAGGTAGGTAGATGGGGAGGGATGGATTAGGGGGATGGACAGATGTATGGGTAGATAGATGCGGATGAAGGGATGGATAGACTGGATGGGGATGGATGGATGAATTGGGGGGTGGATAGATGGATTAATAAATGGGTTGGAGGGATGGATTAGATGGATGGGTAGATAGATGGGGACAGAAGGCTGGATACATGAATCATGGATGGGTAGAGAGGGCAATGGATGGGTGGGTGGATGGATGGATTGACCGATGGGAGATGGAGGGATGGATAGATAAGGGAATGGACAGATGGGTGGATAGAGGGGGTTGGATACATGAGTCATGGATGGGTAGAGATGGAGGGATAAAGAAGAGGGGATGGATGGGTGGACAGATGGATGGAGGGATGGGTGGATAGGTAAGTAGGATTTGGAAGGGAGAGATCAGTTAGATCAGTGGTTCTCAAACTGCGGCCCGTGGGCCACTAGCCACCCAATCAGCACAGAGCTGCGGCCCATGTGACATTCTCAAGGCCATAGATGTAGTACTGGATGCAGCCCAGAATGGTAAATAGGTTGAGAACTACTGAGTTATCTGGATGGGTGGGTGGATAGATAAAGGGATGGACAGATAGATGGGTAGAAGAGAGGATGGATGGACAGACGGACGGATGAGTGGGCGGAAGAGGGGATGGATGGACAGATGGATGGGTGGAAGAGGGGACGGATGGACAGACGGACGGGTGGGTGGGTGGGCGGAAGAGGGGATGGATGGACAGACGGATGATTGGGTGGGCGGGTGGAATTGGGGATGGATGGACAGATGGATGGATGGGTGGGTGGGCAGAAGAGGGGACGGATGGACAGATGGATGGTTGGGTGGAAGAGGGGATGGATGGATGGATGGGTGGGCGGAAGAGGGGATGGACAGACAGAAGGATGGGTGGGCGGGCGGGAGAGGGGACGGATGGACAGACGGAAGGATGGATGGGTGGGTGGGAGAGGGGACGGATGGACAGACGGACAGACGGGTGGGCGGGTGGAAGAGGGGAGGGATGGACAGACGGAAGGACGGGTGGGCGGGCAGGAGAGGGGACAGACGGACAGACGGGTGGGAGAGGGGAGGGATGGACAGACAGAAGGAC